GTTGCCATGGGGTGGGCGGGGGGTGCCCTAGGGTGCCCTGGGGGTCGCTGTGGGGCACAGGGTCCCACCATGGGGGGCAGGGGGTACCTGTGCACTTGCGCACGGGGGTGCCCGCGCCCCCCGGGGCCTCGCCGTCGCTCCCGCTGTGGGGCAGGCGGCAGTTGAAATCGTCCTCCCAGAACTCGTGGAACCACAGGTTGCGGCGGTTGTTCTCCAGTGAGCGTGACGTGAAATACTCGTCAAAGCCTGGGGGGTATGGGGGGTCAGCGGGGGTCCCAAAGGATCAGCGGGGAGCCCACAGGGTCACAGATGTCCCACAGAGTCCCACAGCCCCATCAGGAGTCCCCCAGAGCTCCCCAAAGCCACCCCAAACCTCCTAGAGCCCTCTAAGGTCTCCCAAGGCTCCCCAAAACTCCCCAGCTGCCCCCCAGACTCACCAGGCACCAAGGCCTGCTTGGGCAGGATGGTGATGGCCCTGTTGGGAGCCCCCAAAGCCCCCCAAATTCTCCCCAAAGCTCCCCCAGGTTCCCCCCTGGACTCACCGGGCACTGAGGCTCGTTTGGGCAGGATGGTGATGGCCCCATCCGCCGCGTCCTCCAGGCCCTGCACCGGTGCCATCTTGGCGCCCCAGCTGTCCGAGCCCACCCATGAGAAATGGCCCGAGAGGTTGGCCAGGGTGGCGGCCTCCAGCACCCTCCTGTGGGGACAGTAGCGCTGGGGGGACTGGGCCAAACTGGGAGGGGCTGGGGGAGACTGGAAATGGCTGGCGGGATGACTGAAGTGGACCATGGGGCACTGGGAAGTGATTGAGAGGAGCTGGGGSAAACTGGGATGGGACTGGGGGAGACTGGAGATAGCTGGAGGGTGACTGGGATGGACTCAGGGGCACTGGGAGGTTATTGGGAGGACTGGCACAAACTGGGATGGGCTGGAATGGGTTGCGGGGCTACTGGGATGGACTATGAAGGACTGGGAGCCTAAAAACAGGGACTGGGAGGCTACTGGGTTGGACTGGGGAGCTACTGTGAGGGCTGGAATAGACTGTGTGGAGCTGGGATGAGCTCCAGAGGACTGGGAGCACTGGGAGGGGACTGGGAAGCTGCTGTGTGTGACTGGGGTAATCTGGGTCAGGGCTGGTGTGTACTGGTGCGCACTGGTGTGTACTGGGGTGTACTGGTGCACACTGGTCTCACCGGATGTCATCCTCGTTGGCGAAGAGCACGACCCCACGTGCCGTCGATGTCTCCATCAGGCGCCCGATGACCTTGGCGAACTCGCCCGGCTTGGGCTC